GGGTTTAGGGCTTAGGGTTTAGCACTTATTGTTTAGGGGTTTTGACATTGCGGGTTACCGGCTGGGATTTGCAGTTTGGATTCGGGATGTACCAGGACCCTCCTGCACCCTCAATAGGGGTATGGAGTCCCAAACCCGAAACACTAAAGCCTAAACCCCGAAAACCCAAAACCCTAAACCCTAAACCCTAAAACCCTAAACCCTAAACCCCTAAACCCTAAACCCGCAAACCCTAAACCTTAATGGGTATTTAATGTCTATATAACAGAGGGTAGCAAACCCTAAAACCCTAAACCCTAGACATAACTGGGTATTTAGGGTCCATATGATAGAGGGTACTCGGAGGTTCATGGGTAGTTACAAGTGGGGGTATGTCTCCTAATATGGGTTATAAGTATAGTTACCCTACTTATAACCCCACTTATAACTACCCATGAACCTCCAAGTAGATGGAGGGGCTAAACCCTAAGCCAGAAATCCCCCTAAACCCTGAACCCAAAACCCTAAACTGGAAAATGAGCCCTGAACCCTAAACCCTATAAACCCAAAACCCTATAAACCCTAAACCCCCCCCTAAAAGCCCCTAAACCCTAAATCCGAAGGGCTGAGGACTCTTGAGCCGGCTGTCTTTGAGCTTCAGACTCCCCTGCATGTTGTATAACGTAGGGGCTGGGGTTTAGGGTTTAGGGTTTAGGGTAGTTCGAACGGGGGTTCCTTTAAAGGGATTCTTACAGGGTTCTATAAGGGCTACTATAAGGGTTTAGGGTTTAGGGGCCTTCATAATTAGGAAAGGGTGTTGGGGTACATTATACCATGGTCATAATAAGGCACCCCCCAAAAGAATACAGGTAATTATTAAGGCCTCTATAGTATCTCTGGTGGAGGTGTTCATGCTAACAGCTCTTGCAAGTGTGCTCGCTGTATTCCAAGATGCGCTTCGTCAGAGCCTTCAGATGTTCTTACAGAGATCTTACAACTGCCTTTTGCGCCGCTTCTTTCCGCTTGCTGTGGTTTGAATACACGTTCCGCATGCTGTGCAGAAATGGCGCGCCGCCGCTACACGGGATCCATTTCTGTTGTTCTTGATGACTTGCGCTGGCTTTGCCAGCGATGGGATGTGAACTCTCGATTCAGGGTTCCGGGGTTGCGCAGTTCAGGCCACGCAAATAGATTCCAAGGACCCGAAACCCTAAACCCGAAGCCC